CTTGCCTATTTAGACCTCTTAGCAACTTCATAATTCCCCTCTAAGTGTTAATTGATCTTTATTTCAGCATGTTTTCCACAGTGAAATATGGAAAGAATATTTGAAGCCCTGCCTGTTCATAAATATTTATTTATTTATTTATAAATAACAGCTCTTGAATGAGTACAAGTTGAGATGAATTGTTGTTGGGAAGAAAGTATTTTCTGCCAGAGAAATAATGGCACATATCTTTCCGTAGAAACCTAAGAAGCCTTTTTCTACCCTAAAGAGCCTTTTTCCACCCTAAAGAGCTCTTCCTCCAACAGAAGAGCCACTTAAGTTGGTGGAAGTCCCCTCAGGCTGGAGGAAGGCTTCACAGTTTGCTCGGTGGAGTGGTAGGATGCATGCCGATGATTTATACCAGGGATCTGTGTAGTGTAAGGTTAATTAAGAGGTATTGTTAAAAATATAGTGGGTAGTATTCTACCATAGGCCGGAGGAAGTCTTCTTCCAACTTAAGTGGCTCGTCTTTTGATGCAATGCATAGTGTTTGAATGCAGTTTTTAACAAAACAACATTGTGCATGTGGAGCAATGGAATATACAATTGATGAACAAACACATGAAGCAACCTTATACTCCGTCAGATCCTTGGTCCTCAGACTGGCTGTCCAGCTGTCTCAGGTTGAGGTCTTTCACATCACCTGTTAACTGATCCTGTAAACTGGAAATGCCAGGGATTGAACCTGGGACCTTCTGCATGCCAAGCAGGTGCTCTACCACTGAGCCACAGTCCCTAACCAGTGGTTCACATGATTTCGTTTACTTTGGTTTTTGAAACTGTAGCAGAAGAAATACCTTGCTCTGTGTCTTGTGCATGAGCCAGCCTTGGCTGGGAGGGCGGGTTATAAATTTGAGAAATAAATAAATACAAAAAATAAAGATAATGGAGAAACAGCTGCTTTCATGTAGCTCAAGTAAACAGGGAGTAGTCATTTTAGCACTACCACTTGCCAAAGGATTGTTGTGCTTGTGAAGAGCTTCTGTATGATCCAATCCTGTGTCTTCCCAGGGGCACATATAGTGAGGGGTGAGGGGAGATAGTGTTTTGTCAAATGGATAAATACTTGTGGGGTGGGTGGGTGTGGCTAGTACTGTGTAAAGTGCTGTCAAGCCATAGCTATCTTAGGGCAACCCCCGAGGGTTTTCAAAGCAAGAGACATTCGGAGGTGGTTTGCCATTACTTGGCTTAGCAGACTTCCTTGGTGGTCTCCCATCCAAATACTAACCAGGGCTGACCCTGCCTAGCTTCCAGGATCTGACGTGATTGGGCTAGCCTGGACTATCCAGGTCAGGGCCATACGTACATCAGCCATGCCATACAGCCAGATACTACATCTGTTCTCTCCTTGCCTTTTCACTGAGCAGAAAAATCACTTAGTAGTAGTAGTAGCTTTAGTATTTAGAAAGTGAAGGCTTCAGACTTTGCTAAGCAGAGTGATAGAAATCAGGCCAGTGACCTTAAACACCATTAAAGGGCTGCGGGATCTTTCCCTCCTTAACCGTTGTGGTTCGCATCGAACACGCATGAATCTGCCTTACGCTCAGAGGTCATTTCGGGGGGGGAACGCGGGGGAACACAGTTCCCCCGGGTGAGGTACAGGGGGCGGGGCACATGACGAAGCCACGCCCCCTGCTTCCGGCCGCCCCGCTTCCGGCTCCTTGCACTCCTGCCGGCCTTGCAGGTCCACCGCCGGGCCCCTCATGGGGCTCGGCAGTGGAGCTGCAAGGCCGGCACCGGCGGCCAGGACCGTTGGGGGTGGGGTTTGTGGCCTTATGACACATTTCCGGTGATGTCCGGAGGTGTGGCTTTATGACACACTTCCGGTGATGTCAGGGAGTGTGGCATATGCTAATGAGTTATGCTAATGAGTTCCCCTAGCTCTTTTTCTACGAAATGACCCCTGCTTATGCTGAATCAGACCATTGGCCCATTAAGGTCAGTACTGTCTACTCAGACTGGCAGCAGCTCTCCAGGGTCCTCAGGCGGAGGTACTTCAAATCACCTACTACCTGGTCCTTTTTACTGGAGATGCCAGGGATTGAACCTGTAACCTTCTGCGTGCCGGGTGATAACTTAGCATAGTAGGGGTGCCAGCCTCCAGTTGGGACCTGGGGATCCCCTGGAATGATAGCTCATCTCCAGCCTGCAAAGATCAGTCCCCCTTGAGAAAATGGATGCTTTGGAGGGTGGACTCTACGGCACTTTATCCCACTGAGGTACCTGTCCTCTCCAGGCTCCACCCCCAAGTCTCCAGGAGTTTCCCAACCTTGATCTTGCAACCTCCCCACTGGTGGCCAGTGGGGCCTGGAAACCCTATAGCATAGTGTGTCCCAGTTTAAAGCTCTGTTTCTGTCTAATGCTGAGTATATCAGTCGTTTTATGTGTAGAACGCTGGGGCATTGTACTTCTAATAATGGGTTTAAATTAAGGGTGGGAAGGTACTGGCTGGATATTAGGGAAAACATTTTGACAGTAAGAGTTGCTCAACAATGGAATCCGCTGCCTCGGGAGGTTTTGCGCTCCCCCTCCCTGGCAGTCTTGAAGCAGCGGCTGGACAAACACTTGTCAGGGATGCTCTAGGCCGATCCTGCATTGAGCAGAGGGTTGCTGTAGGACCCCTTCCAACTCTCTGATTCTGTGATTCTATGATTCTGATTTTCATAAATATGTCAGACCATATAGTTTAACTAAGTTCTTGATTCTAAATATGTTTAGTGTTAAGAAAGTAGTATTGCACATTTGCTGTGAGCTTCATCGTTCCGTGGTTAAGAAATTGTTCCCCATGAAGCAACCTGGGCAGCTTAGATTTCTCTTCAGTTGCCTGATTTGGGGGGGGGGGGTTTCGGCAGTGAGTTCTGCCTCACCGATAGGATCATTTTCAAAGTGAACACACCAATCAGTGAAAAATCAGATCAGCACTGGGCGAGAACAAACCTGTAGCTAGACATCCCATGTGACTAAGGGTCTATGTCTACAGAATCTCCTCTACAAACTAAAAATCCTTGGAGTGATCTGAGGACTGAAAGTTTCTTGGATTTCCTCAGAGGAATGCTGACGTTGAATGGAAGCATTGTAACGGCTTCATAAGTTGAACAGGCTGTTGGATCGTTACGTTGCCGTGAGCTTTTTGAATTGATTTATTTACTTTCTTATGGTCTGTCTTTCTCACTGAGACTCAAAGCGGCGCACGGATTTTAAGAATGCAGTAAGATAAACTTAAAAGTTGTGGGTTTCATTAGTTTTTAGAATATCGAGCAAAAGCAGGGCTCAGACTGCTTGCTGTGCTGCTCTTTCGTGAATGCAAAGCGATGATGTTGGAAGAGCCCATGGCTTAGGGGTGTTCTGAGAGACTGTGCACCATTTTATTTTAACCCTCTATTGCTCCAGAAATAATGCTGCTTTTATCTATAGGCAGTTGTGGCATCTGGAAGTAGGTGTAGAGATAAGGGAGGATCTATACAGTGAGAGCTGCAGATTTCTGCTTGCAGAACTGGAGCAAATGGCAAGACCCCAAGTAAACCCAAAACTCTGACAGAGTCAGGGGCCCAGAAAGAACCAGCAAACCATCTACCCCAACCCCCTAGGCCTAAGGCAGGATGCACCCACAGACATCAAGCGCCCATGCAAGTGACCCGTCCTAAATCTTGTGACTTCCCTCTCCCCTGTTTTAACAAGCGACAACGAATGCAAAAGACACGTACATACATTTAGGACCATGTTTTAGTGCTTTGCCAGTTCACACTGATAATTCTTGGGTCGTGGAATGTTGCAAGGTACAAGGCACTCAGGCTAATATTTGAAACGTAATAATCTACCTGGTAGTTTGCCAGCAGTACAGAACTTTGCGGATGCAGCAATTGCACCGCTGGCTGCGATCATCACACTAATTGGCACCTCTCAGAGCTGAGTTCCCACATTGCTGGAAAGGTAACTCTTCCATTTAGATTGTCTCTCCCTTTGCTACAGTGTTTGACTCTGAATTTTTAAGGTGCAATGTCATTAAATGGATACTCTTACAGCTAGGACAATAGACATATAGCAGTACAGCATTTCATCTCAGAATCCTGCTGGACTCTCACTGTGTGTCCATACCCTGCAGCGTCAGGTCACAAATCACAGTATGGTTGCCAGCCTCCAGGCAATTCAGAGGGGAGGGGAGGATGGGACGGGCTTCTCCTCTCCCTGTCACTCTTCACCTGGCTGGATAACCTTGGGCAAGCCATACTTCTGTCAGGGGGGTTCTTGAAAAAGAGCAGTTTCTATCAAGAGCTCTCTCAGCCCCACCTCCTCAGAGGGTGTCTGTTTTGGGGAGGGGAAGGGAAAGGAGTTTGTAAGCCACTCTGAGACTCCCTTGGGTAGTGAAGGGCAGGGTATAAATCCAATCTCTTCTTCTTCTTCTTCTTCTTCTTCTTCTTCTTCTTCTTCTTCTTTTTCCGTACTTCTCACTGTGCTAATGTCTGGGTGTGTACGGGAAGGGAGGTAAATGTACATAGTACAAAACCTGACTCTTCTGTGCATACTAGAAGTACATTTGTGAAGCAAACAAATAAAGAAGAGAGTAGACTCTGGCATTGGGGTTACATTATTATTTCGTAGCAAGATGTTTTTTAAACAACTCTCTCTCTCTCTCCCTCTCTCTCTCTCAAAAATTTTCTACCACTCTCTCTCTCTCTCTCTCTCTCTCTCTCTCTCTCTCTCTTTTTGCATCTCTGAGTGCTCCTACCTTCCAAGTATTTTTCTGCACCAGGACATTGGTTGGTTGGTTGCCTCGATAACGGTGTTGAGGGTGACACCTAGTGGGAAAGTCCAGTCGACAATTCACTCCACTTGCCAATAGAGGCAGAGTCTGTTTTAAGGACGGAAAATTTTGTTCGAAGCTCCCTTGGAACCTCTGCCAGGCATACAATAATGTGTTTTCGAGTATTTTTACTGACTTAATTTTATTATTGTATCAATAGACAGAAGACCCAACTATGGAACGGCCTTACACATTTAAAGATTTCCTTCTCAGGCCAAGAAGGTGAGTGAGTCTGTCTGTCTGTCTTTCCACCCACCCACCCACCCACCCTTATTTTTAAAAAACCTTCCTTTCTAGCACACAAAACCATTATGTAGCTCATCTGTGTTTACAATTGTTTTATTCCCGTTAGCCACAAATCTCGGGTAAAGGGTTTTTTGAGGCTAAAGATGGCCTACATGCCAAAGAACGGTGGCCAAGATGAGGACAATGACCAGAGGGAGGACTCTGAGGTAAGCAGCTTTTAATCTGAGGTGTTTCCAATTTTCTTGATTACAGCTAGATTTGAGACCTTCGAGACCACAAAGACTTTTCAGGTATAAGCTTCCGAGAGTCAGAGCTCCCTTTGTCAATGTTATGAGGAAAGGAACTTCGACTCTCAGAAGCTTACACCTCAAAAAGTCTTGAGGGTGCTACTGGACTCATCTAGCCATTCCTCTACAGACCAACACAGTTACCCTCTGAAACTTCTTTTCCTGAAATAATGGTGGTAGGCATGCTAGGAATCTAGCAACTTGATAGCTCGTATCGCTTAGAAATGAAAGTGAGCTGAGATCACAGTCCAGGTGGGCACACACATGAAGATGCCTTATACTGAATCAGATAATTGGCCCGCAACATCAGTATTGTCTACTCAGACTAGTGCCGGGTGGGGGTGTCCAAAATAAAAGGACCAGGAAGTAGGTGATCTAAATCACCTACTTCCTGGTCCTTTTATTTTGGAAATGCCAGGGATTGAACCTGGGACCTTCTGCGTGCCAAGGAGATGTTCTACCGTTGAGCCATGGTCCCACTGTTGAGCAGTATATACCTGTCTTAGAGGAAGCATAATGTTTCCTCCAACCTTCATAGCATATAGCTGGGGAAAACAGACAGCAAAGAACCATCGCTAGAGATTTCTGGAACAGATGGACTGGATCATCAAGGCAACTCTCTGTTTCTTAGGATGGGTTAGACAGATTTGTCATTTACATGAACACATGAAGCTGCCTTGTGTTGAATCAAACCCTTGTTCCATCGTAATCAGTAGCGAAGGCAGCTTCATATGTTCGTGGCATTCAGAACTTTCATCCGATCACTTCACTGTACTTCTGGATCATGGTTCACCACACAGCTGAATACCCGTAACTTCACTGTGGGCACGGTGAGCCGTAGGGTGACCGCTTTCTCCTCAATTCATCACACGTCGCAAGCCAAACAAACCCACGCTGTAATGCATTTAAAAGCGTTGTGTGAATCAGCCACAAGAACTGGAGCATGCTTCTTTTGGAAATGGTGTCTTGTTATCATATGATGAGTGAATCAGCTATGAGCTATTTCAGTCTTCATTCTCTGGGATGGCAATTAGAAATGAAGCATTGTTTTCAAACTAAGTGAATAAGTATCAGTTCCGGGATATGAAGCAAACATGGAATTCCTTCTTAGGCTGTCGCGTCAAAGTTCCAGCACAGAATTACTCTGTTGGCCCTGGAGCGAGCCCAGTTGAGTGGTCCCATGCAGCTCTACAAGCCAGTTCTCAGTTCGATGGGGCCACCAATAGGCAGTAGCTCTCCCATTGCATTCTCGCCCAAACTGGCAGCAGTACAGGAAGAGACAGAAAGCTGGCCCTAATTGTGATTGCTGGCGAGGGGGTCTGAGGCATTGGCAGAATTGCTGGGGCCTGGCTTCGTTTGCTTCTGGCCCCCAGTGTCCTTTTGGGGCAGTGGCCCAGTGGGAAGTTTCCTTCTAAGTTGTGGCCAGACCACCCCTGGTTAACAATGCTACACATTAGAACTGAGCTTTGGGAAGACAGTGGACTAAATTGCTTCTTTCTGCTAGATTTTTATCCCACTCTCCTCCAAGGAACTCAGGGTGTTCTCCCTGCCCCCATTTTATCTCACAGCAACCCTCTGACATAGGTTAGGAACAAGAGAGTGACTGGTCCAAAGTCTTTTTTGAGCTTTTTTGACATTTTTTTTCTTAACAAACGTACCAGTTGCACACGCACAATATACGAGGGTGAATCAAATGAAAACCTTAAAATGGCGATAACATTTAGAATCACCGCGCCATTGTCTGTAGTGTGTAGTCTGTAGTAGTGAAGGAGTGAAATCTACTGCAATTCATCAACAAATGAAGTTGCAATATGGTGATGCATGTCTGTCACTGCAGCAAGTGTACAAGTGGAGTAGCAAGTTCACTCCTTCACTACTCAAAAAGCGGATGACGAAACACTGCTCCTCTTTGGGGCATGTCTCAAGTGAGGCAGCCATCTTTACACCAAGCTACTGTGACGGTGTGTTGCTTGTCTGCACTCTGCTGCCACCTGTAGGACATTCTTTATGTCATAAGGGAGCGGTGGCGCAGGTGGCTATAACGCCTGCTAGTAACATCTACGAACAGCTGCTACAGCTGTTCGAAACCCACCGCGGCCAGAATGAGCACCTGGCCCCTGTCCCAGCTCCCGCTAACCCAGCGGTTCGAAAGCAGGAATTAACATCAAAAACTGCGAGTAGATAAATTGGGTACCTACCTTAGAAGGTAGGGAGCACCCTCCCCCGTCGAGGGGGTTTGTGGAGTGTCGGTGGCGAGTGGTGAACGGCAGAGCGGCAAAAAGATGGCGACCGAGTGTAACATCCACGGTGGACTGGACGCAGCGGAGAGGCAGAGCCAGGAGACGCGAGGTTCGTGGAAGGCGCAGGCGTGGCGGTGCCTAAGCGGACGGAGCCGGAGCCGCACCGGCGCGTACCTGCGCCAGAGGGGCCTGCCGATCCACCACCGGAAGACCGTGAGGAGAAGGAGGAAGTGAGAGCCGGAAGCCAGAAAAAGCCGAGCCGACAAGCCGACTGGGGGGAAGAAGATCAACAAAGACCTCCACAGGGAGCTGGTAGGACAGTGCCCATCCCCAGTATTTGTGGCCATAGGTAGGGATAAGCGATTAACTGTAAGCCGCTCAGAGACCCCCCTGGGGGTTCGAGCGGAATAGAAAGTTGAAAGATAAATAAATAAAATAATTAAATTGGTAAAAAACTTACAGACAATGGGGCGGTGTTCTAAATGTTATCGCCATTTTAAGGTTTTCATTTGATTCACCCTCGTATATTGTGTGTGTGCAACTGGTACGTTTGTTAAGAAAAAAAATGTCAAAAAAGCTCAAAAAAGACTTTGGACCAGTCACTCTCTTGTTCCTAACCTATGTCAGAGGGTTGCTGTGAGATAAAATGGGGGCAGGGAGAACACCCTGAGTTCCTTGGAGGAGAGTGGGATAAAAATCTAGCAGAAAGAAGCAACTTAGTCCACTGTCTTCCCAAAGCTCAGTTCTAATGTGTAGCATTGTGAACCAGGGGTGGACTGGCCACAACTTAGAAGGAAATTTCCCAGTGGGCCATTGGTAAATTCCTTATGTCATTGGTAAAAATACTGCCAGCTTACAGACAATGGTGCAGTGTTTCTAAATGTTATCGCCATTTTAAGGTTTTCATTTGACTCACCCTTGTATATACTGGGTCAAGACATTGGTGTATCAAGATCAATATTGTCTGCTGAGAACTGCAGTGGCTGTCCAGGTTCTCAGGTGGAGGTCTTTCCTATCACCTACTCCCTGAGCTCTTAAACTGGACCTGCTGTGGATTGTACCTGGGATGTTCTGCACGCAAAGCAGATGCTCAGGTACTGAGCAATGTCCCATCCCCATTTTTAGTCCTCCACATGAGCTTGTCAATATATCAGTCCACTCCGACCTCAAACTCTTTTGTACTGAGAGAACAGCTCACTGCAAATAAATGTATGATAATGTCAACACCTGCCACTTTGTTATGTGTAGTTTCATCTTTGGAAAGCACCTGTGTTTTAGTTGCATGATGGACCTGCAGATACATAGGCTGCCGTGCATTAGAATTAACCTTTCCTTTTCTCTCCCCCCCCCTTTGAAGCATGGCTGGGAGGTGGTGGACTCCAATGATTCTGCCTCTCAGCGCCAGGAAGAGTTACCAACCCCTCCCTTACCTCCTGGATGGGAAGAAAAAGTGGACAATCTTGGGCGTACCTACTATGTCAACCATAACAACAGGACAACACAGTGGCACCGGCCAACTCTAATGTAAGTGTGCTTCTTTACGCCACCTATAATTATAAGCCACAAGACAGGGTGATGGAGGAAAGACTAAACAAATTCCTAGGTCGGTCTATCAATAGCCATTAGTTGTGGTCATATCTTTCCATAGGAATCATATGTTGATTGGACTACTCTGAGAAGTGTCTCTGTTCTGTCCCACACCTTAGGATCATTTGCTGTTCATCCACCCTCGTTTGGGATTTTTCAGTCAGAGCTCCGACCATATAACATGGCATGCCCGAAGAAGTCAGGAGGGCACCATCATTACAGCGTTGTCGGGGGGGGGGGGCCGGGGGGGACATAAAGCCATTTTATTCCACAGGGGTTTCAGCTGATTTTATGGGCTCTGTGTTGAAGATGAAGACTTATGCTTCTGTAGCCATCCTGCTGTGGGCAATACTTTTATTGATGTTATGGATAACTGTGTGACAGCTAGATTAACCAACGAGATTCTCAGGGTGTAAGCTTGCGAGAGTCAAAGCTCCCTCTGTCAGATGGATAACGGTGGAGAACTATGACGGTTTTTAATGTAGTTTTTAATACTATTGGAATATTTTTTAATTTTTTTTATTTATCTTTAAATTTATATCCCGCCCTCCCCGAAGGCTCGGGGCGGCTCACAAGGGGCACGAATGCCCAAGTTAAAACATTAAAACAGTACAGAATAATATAGAATACAATAACTACAGTACACTAAAATTTACTTTACGATGCTCCAAAATTAGTTAACTATAACATTCAAGATGGGGTTCTAAAAATACTAAAAACGAGCAACAATAATAACAATCAATATAGCAGCAACAATATACTTCCATACAGCGTTGTCCTCTGCCAGGCACGTCTCGCACCCCCAGTAGTCCCCGCTCTGGGGGTGGTCAATTTGCGGGACCAATAAGGGGGGGCGTAGATAGAAAGATGGTGACGATGGCAGTATGATGATGATGGCGTAATGATGGTGGTGGTGGCTCCTACTCAAAGGCCTGGTGGAAGAGCTCCGTTTTACAGGCCCTGCGAAACTGCACCAAGTCCCGCAGGGCCCTGATCTCTTCTGGGATCTCATTCCACCAGGTAGGAGCCGCCACCAAGAACGCCCTAGCCCTGGTAACCGCAAATTTGATGTTTCTGGGGCCTGGAATGTCCAGGAGATTTTGTGTCCCCAACCGTAGTGCCCTTGGGCCTGTTGGGAGCAAGGCAAGATAAAAATATTTTGAATGAATTAATGCAGCCTCCATGTTACTGTGGCAATAATTTTTTCTAAATGCCAGGGGCAAAAGGGAGGGAACTCTGGTGCCCTGGTTATGGCTTTAATTGTGGGTTTAAGCTGGAGGCCTCTTGTTGGCGCCTAGGGGTGCCAGCTCTGCCACTATGGCAGGAGACCTCTCCCTGCCCCCTGGGTCTTAGCACCTGCTACTGCCTGGTGGTGCCATGGGAGCAAGATGGGGGGGGAGTGGCTGCACATATCACAGCATTATGTCACTTCCACCACGGCATTATTATTATTATTATTATTATTATTATTATTATTATTATTATTATTATTATTATTATTATTATTATTATTATTATTATTATTATTATTATTATTATTATTATTATTATTATTATTATTATTATTATTATTATTATTATTATTATTATTATTATTATTATTATTATTATGCTCACCCCTACTCCCCAGCAAGGAGCTGCAGTGGCTCAAGTGGTTAAGACACTGAAGGTCAGTAGTTCAGCAGTTTGGAAGGTCGGTAGTTCAGCAGTTTGAGACCCGAGTGTGCCACATGATGGAAATGCCGAAGAGGTCTTTTTATCAGGTTTATGAGCTGGACATTCCATTCGCCGACTAACACCTCCCCTACGGGGGTTTAGTGTGCCCACCCTCTCTAAGGAGTGGTACCCATTTTATCTACTCGCCAAAGCTTTCGAACTGCTGGGTGGACAGCGAGCTGGGGACAAGACTGGTAGCTCACACCAGCACGGGCTAGAACTGACAGCAACTCTGTTCAGTTCAGATGTTAACCAGAGGATAAATCCTCTGTGCCACCGCTCCCCAACGTTCCAGCAGTTTCCCAAATTTCTATGGTTTTACCTATTCCTTGGGTGTCATCATACTTGGAAGTGACATTGCAACATCGGTCACTATGACCCCCATGTCCCACCCCAAAAAGCTCCTGGGGTTGCCAGCAGACAGTTGGCAACCCTACTTTCCACTATTGCAAGCGGGATGCTAGACTAGATGGGCCCTTTGCTGGATCTTATGATAAGCCTCTGTATGCAAGTCTTTGTTTGTTTGTTTGTTTGTTTGTTTATTAAAGCATCTATATCCCACCTTTCCTCTTTGTTCAAGGCAGCCTATAATAATAGTTAAAACATCCCGAGCTAAAACCAGTGATAAATAGCAAGCCTCCCTCCCCATCCCTCCCTTAATTTCTATGGTTTTACCATAGCAATTTGGGGGATTTCTAGAGTGTCGCCATAATGTACGTACTTGGAAGTGACATTGCAGCATCAGTCACCATGAGGCTTACCCATGTCCCACCCCGAAAAGTTCCTGGGGTTCTGCTAATGTTCAGACCCCCTCAAAAGCCCTGGCAAACAGGCAGGCCTTGCAAGCACCTCCTGAAGATCTCCAGGCAGAGTTGCTGCAGTTATCATCCAGTGTCTATCAGTCACTGATGGTCTGGGCGTGCAGTCTTAGACTTGTAGATGATAAAGCAGAGAACACATAAAGGAAGTATTCAGCTGCTCCCTGCTATACTCGCTTGCGGAAGCATTTCCTAGTAGTCTTTCGCAGAAGTAAAACACTGTGGGAATATCATCACATTGGCGACGTCAAGGGTGACGCTCTACTTTCTGGGCAAAACTCTATGGTTTGTAGCCATTTTTACCCTAGAGTTTTGCCCAAAAAGTAGAGCGTTGCCCCATCCCTGACGTGCTGAGGTCACTTCCGAGGCTTTGAAAGACACTCTGTTTAAGAACGTTCCTCTAAGGGACGGTAGGCGTCCTCGGTTGTCTCCCTTCCAGGTTCTAACCAGGGCTGACCTTGCTTAGCTTCTGTTATCTGACAAGAAAGGGCTAGCTGACCCCCTCCAGGTCAGGGATGGACTTAAATGTTATAAATGTCACTCTTTGAAGGCCCCTTGACCGTGCTGTTTTGCTTATTTTTTTACTAACTCCTACATAAAAGGTCTGCCTAATGAAGCCACTCATTTCCCATGATGAAGCAGGCTCTAGTCCACCATAAAGCTTATGCTGGAATAAAAAAAAAAATGTTAGTCTTTACTGTTACCACCAATGATCCTAGTGAATGCTTGGATCTTAGATCTGGACCTGACATGTCGCTAGGCCTTCCGGCGCGTGGGATGATGATCGGTGGAATAATGCAGAATGAGATCTGGAAGCACGCCATCTCATTTGTAGTACTGTATGCACTTTATTGTTAATTGCTAAATTATTTTTGTTAATGTTCTAAATTATTTATGAGTTTTTTTAACTTCTTTTTCTTATAGCAAAGCTTGACCATAAGTAGTGACGGATTTCCATTAATACATTACAGTAGGCGTCTAATACCCAGTGGTCTTGCGGGGCTGTCATAAACAGAGTTACACCTTTCTAAGCCCATCGGACATCAATTTATGGAAGCTTTCCCCACCCTTGTATTTGCACCAGCTGCCACTTCTTCCCCTTATGCTCTGCCTGTGAAACGCACAGCCTGATCCACCACTCGATTTAAACTAAATTACTAGGGTTTAACCTGAAATGCAGACTGAAATCTGTAAATGCATTCCCCGAAAGGTCAGTCCCAGTTAATAAGGAAAGGTTTTCTTCAGAGTTAGCAAACATAGAATCGGGCCGCTAATTAGGTGGACCAGCCCCCAGGCTTTGAAACACAGTCTTCAGGAACGCCCCCGCTGGAAATCGATGTTACTGCCACATGCATAAGAGGATGTACTTTGGCATAAAGTGGATTAAATTTACTGGATTTGAGACGGTGTAATTAAGATTCCTGTACCCCTTGGAATAAGGGCCAATCCTGAAGCTTACTAGTGGTTTAAGATACTGATTCTTAATTTAATTTCAGGGCAAGTTTTATTAGGACAGATTTTCTCACAGCGTTCTGATATAATTCTAGGCAATAAAACCTGCCTGGGTCCATTTGATATTTCGCTATGTCAATTATCCTTTTAAAATTTAGTTTTTTTTTCTCTCTCTCTCTCTCTCTTTCTGTACTGTGAAGCTGAAATGAGATTATCCCTTTAGGACATTTTCTCTTACTGTTTAACCATTGAATTTATACAATGGGATTTGCCGCATCGCATTCTCTCCTGTTTGGAAGTTGTCTCCTGTGTACAAAGGCTCTTTTGCTCAAAGAAGCCTAGCTACTGCAGTACGATATCATAAGCTTTTGTTATTTATATCCATAGAACATAGTAGCTCTGTGTCATAATGTACCTAAAGCCATTTACTTCCCCAAATCCATGCACGTTTACTCAGAAGTCTCATTTCGTTCAGCAGAACTTGCTCCTGTGTAAGTCTGCATAGGATTCCAGCTACGATGCAAATAAAAAAACAAGGTTTTGTGTGCATGCATACAACTTTCCGGGGGCTGCGGTGGCTCAAGTGGTTAAGACGCTGAACTGCAGACAGGAAGGTCGATAGTTCAGCAGTTCAAGACCCGAGTGTGCTGCATGACGGCGTGAGCTCCTGTCTCTGGCCCCAGCTCCTGCCAACCTAGCAGTTCGAAAGCAAGACATTGCAAATAGATAAATAGGTACCGCTTCGGTGGGGAGGTAACAGCGTTCCATGCACCTCGGCGTCTAGTCATGCCGACCACATGACCACGGAAACGTCTTCGGCCAGCGCTGGCTCTTCGGCTTGGAAACAGAGATGAGCACCACATCCCTAGAGTCAGATTCGACTGGCTTCCGAGCAAGGGAAACCTTTACCTTTACCTATACAACTTTCTAAGCCCATATACTTCAACAGAC